TTGCAAAGCCCGCGCGGCACGTGGATGGCGCGCGCCCGCTCTGCAGGATACCGCGCCAAAGAGATCGCAGCGCCCACGTCGCCGCGGGGCGCGCCCGCCGCTCACGGCGGCCTCTCCCGTGAGCTCGGCCCATCTTCGAACTTGAATCGCATGCGGAGACAAAACTGAACTCCAATGCTGCCTCCCAACAAATCACACGTTGATGACAGCGGCTCTGGGAAATTGTTCCTCGCGGATTCTGGGCGCCACGCGCGTGGGCAAAATTGGGAGCCTGGACGCGGGCGCCAACACCGACGCAAAGGGCTGCCTCCACAGGGGGAAGATGATCCTGTCGGCGCTGGTAGGAAATATTCCGGCCACATTGGAAGCCATAATATTACCACCATCGCCGAGATCGAGGCCTTCTTCCCTCGGCGGAGGCACACCGCCGAAATGGGTGTTGGCGTCAACCGCTAGGCCCGCGACACACCGCGCACAGCAAAGGGGCGCCGAGCGAAACCGCCTTCTTAGAAAACTGTCAGAAGGCTTCTGCGCCAGCCCAGAGAGCCAGAAACCAAACCATGAACTTCTGTCGGTAACTCGACGAGAGTCTTCTCCAGAAATGCCGCCAACAAGGCGCGTCGGATGTCGAAAGGGCAGGCGCGGTACGGTTGAGCACAACAATGCCGGGATCATGGAATCCCTGACTGATCCATTTGCCCTTCGCACAATTGCTCTCGGGCACAATCGGGTCGTTGAGCCATTTGTCGTAGTCGGCCCCATGTGTCTTTCCACTTGTCATGTCAACGGGGTGAAATCACGCGTTGTGGGTATTTGCGGTAGATGTCTGTTGCAGACAACCCTCGGTGAATGCGAGCCGCCTTAGTGTCATCTGGACCAGCGGTGCAGATCTCTGCCCATTATTGCCGTATGCTTCCTTGTTTGCCAATGCTGTTTCAGGCGTTCAGGCAACGGATGGATGTTCACGTCGTCCTCAACGCGCATTTTTGAAGAAATGACCTCGAAGTGTCCGCGAAGCCGCCTCGGACTGCAAGGCAGTGTCAAGCACGTCAAAGTTGAAGGCTTGGGGCGCCCCCAACAAATCACCAGCCACCTGTGTGCATCGTAGCTGCTGTCCAAGCAGTAAGTAACAAGCTCGTCTGCAGTTAGCTGCAGCAGGTGCAGCAGTGTTCGGCGCTGGAGGTAGCAGGTCTGATTCCGGAGTAGCAGGCCACGGGCACGCCCGCGCCTCGCGCCGACGCGCTGGATGCCCCCTCGAGCGCGGCCGGCACAGGGGCCCGGTTAGACGCTGGCTCGCTTTGCGGCTCATCTGATGCGGCACCCAGTCTAGGTCGCACTTGGCGATCAGCGCTTTGCGGTGCTGGCCGAGCGAGTCCTGCTTCATTGTAACTCTCGGCCATAGGTCGCCCCGGCAGTTCTCGATCAGCGTTTTTGTCAGAGTCGACCCAAATTCCGTCGGCAGCTGCCGCTCCAGGGTCTTCGAAAGGCTCATCCCCAGGAGATCTGGGCGCGCCTTCCCCAGCGGCGTCGACGCAGCGGCGAGCGCCGCGGGTTTGCTCGAGCAATCAAAATATCGTGAAAGCAGCGGTCGACCATCTCGATGCCTCTTCGCATCTGCTCGCTCGACATGCGGCGCAGAGAGCATCGGCGCTGCTGCGGCGGCGCGCGCAATGCCCCCGGCGAAAACAAATTGCCTGCTCGCGCGTTTGTTTGCCTGCCCGGCCTGGTAGCGGCATCTTGCCGACCGCGAACTGCTGCCCCGCGTTGATCCTCGAGACTCGAGCGGAGGACCTCGGGCCTTGGCGCCGGCGCGCGGGCGGGGCAGCCTCGCCGTCTAAGTTCTTGGCGCCCCCGAGCCGGTTCTTGTAAGTAGTCGCGCCGATGCGCGCTTCCGCGCGGCGCCCCATGGCCGCGCGGTCGAGAAATGCCGGGGGCGTGCGGCGCAGGCAGCGCCATTTCCACCTCCGGCGTTCGGGGGGGTTGTCCGGGCCTCGCAGCGGTCGACCGGCCTCCCGGACGCCCGCCCGCGATTCGAAGTGCGCCCCGCGCGGCTCAACGTCGAAATGAACGCTCGCAGAGGCGGCAGCTGGCTGGGGAAGGCTGATCTGAGCCAGGAAACATGCGTCGCCACGCGCCTGCCTGAGCCCGCCTCGCGCGCCCTCGACCGACAACCGACGGGCGCCCTCCAAGCGGTGATTCCGCCCGGCGCGCCGAGAACCGCGCCCGGCCGACGAGGGATTTCCACCTGGGTCGCGCGCGCCGCGAGGGCGCCGCAGTTCTGCGCGACGGCGACGGGCAGCGCCCGGCCAGACAGAAACTTCGAAGACCGGCCGACGGCCAGTCCGCAGGCGCCCCCAAAGGTGCCCCACAAGCTTGTCGAACTGATCCTCGCCGCGGGCTCCACGCCGAGCTCCGGCGCCAACTACGAGCCGAAGCCCATCCGAGCCTTGACTCCAGGAGAAGCCCCATCCAAGCTTGTTTGCCTCAGCGAGGGCGGCGAAAGTGGAAGAACTGGCATCTGCTGAGCCCGGCGCGCCCGACGACGAGCGCCACGCGGGATGGCGCCCGCTTCAATGGGAGAGACCTGAGAAGCTCATCGGCCAATTATTCGCGCAGCGCATCGGCCTAGCGCGGCCGCTCCGCTTCCCGCGGCGCCCCCCTTCCGAATGCCATTAGCTACCCCTCGTGGCGGACAGTGCTTGAAAAAAGCCTCGGGCCGCCGGCAACAAAGAGCACGTTTTCGTCGCCGACGAGTCTGGGGGCCTCGTTCAAGATATCTTCCCCCTCGTAAGCGACGGGCAGAGTGAGCGAAGACTGTCGCGCGAAAAACCAGCGAGCAACTTCTCGATCGGATTCATCTGGCTCGCACCTTTCGTCGCCGCCCTGGTGGCCGCTGAAGCGCGAGAACTCATTCCGCGAATGCGATGGCCACCTTCTCGCGAGGGCGATGGGCGCGGCGTTCCACTTCTCACTGAACGCATCGAATTCGCAGGGGCCCTCAGTGCGGTTTTCGACGGCGCCCCAAGCGGCGTCGTTGAGCTTGGACCCTCGGAGAAGCATGTATCCTTCCAATTCAACTGGCAATGCAAATTGCTTCCCATGCTCGCGCGCTATGTAATTGACAGTGGATTCATCTCGCTTGCGCTCGGCATCTTCAGACTACAAAAGCTTCTCGAAAGCCTTCGGTCGCATGCGGCTTGGGTTTCGGCGAAAGCCTCTCGGATATGCTCGGCTGCAAACTGCCCGCTGTCCTCGGCGGACGGCCGTGCCTCAGTAAGCTCGTTAATGAAAATATCGAGGTTGTCTTTTGCGTAGCGGCAGATGAGGTGTCCATGCGATCTCTTTAGCGTCTTTGAAATAGTGAACCACATCTGCAGCTCCTTCATATTTGGATAGAGACGCGTATCAGGATCTCGTCCATCCCAGGTGGGAAGACATATATTTAGCACATTTGAAACCTCCGATCGTTCAGGACATTGCCCCCGTTGTCGATCATTCGATCTCGCAAAGGCGTCGCCCCAGCAGGTCGGTGCGAACGGAATCGCATAGCACCGCAATGGTGCGTTCAATCAGGCTGCCCCGGCCGGTGAGCCACGACCTTGCGGTTCCAACCTGTAGACGCTGAGTGCGCATTGGGCTGTAACTCTGTCGCCTGCCGAGCGAACCAGCGGGCCCAGTCAGCATCTGACCAGCCCCCTTTCGGCGTCGCCATCCCAAAAAACGTATCATCGCCCTCTCCCCCTCCTGCCCAAGCATCCAGACCTTGTTCTTGCCACGGATCTCCAGAAACTTTGTATTTTGGTGGCCGAGCGTCAACATATCTTTCCATGGCGGCGCCTGGCACGAGGGGATACAGAGCGGGAAGCACGAGAGAACAATGCATGTCACCCGAAAGTTGGGTGACAAGGAGGGTTTGCCTGACTCTCTTTGGGGTCGGGGCCACGCAGGCTTCGCAACCAGTGGGCTGCGCTGTAGTAGATGTAGGGAATACAAAATTCACGATGTGCAGGTAGAGGGACCCGCTGAGAGAGAGAGAGAGAGAGAGAGAGAGAAAAAGCACGTGCTCATTCCTTTTACTGGGGGGGCTCGCTAGCTCTCGCTGCAGGCGTGCCGCACAGCTGAAGGGCCCTGCGATCCGAGACGGCCGCGGAGCGGGGAGGCGAGAGAGAGGCGCGGGAGGCAGGAAAGCTAAAACAAACATAACAGCCACAGCCCAGGACAAACTTTGACCTTTGGGAAAACCTTTGGGAGAGGCTGCCTGGGAAACTTCAAGACCTGGGCGAGGCTACCTGGGCAGATTTCGGGGAGACCTCCAGACTCTCGAGAGGCTTTGGGAGACGCTTCCTGCATTGCTTGGGAGAGATTTTGGGAGAGTTTCAGGCATCCTGAGACGGGCTTCCTTGGAAAGCCTCCATGGTGGCTGAGAAGAAGGAATGGGCAGGGAGGCGGGAACGGTATGGAGGAAAAAGATAATGGGGACAACTGATGAGTGATGGGCGCTTGCACCGGCCCATGCCAAGCGAGCTGGTCACCAGATGGTTAGCACATTGGGAAGCTGGAGCTTGGTATAACCCGATAGCATCGGTAAGGGTAACATTCCTGCCGCTTCCTCTATCTCGCTCATACCCCTCCTCAAAATCATCATTCCTCATACCTCCTCCCCACTGCCACCCTCCCCATTTACCCCCTCCCCCGTTTTGCCCTCCCTCCACACACCCCTCCGATCTCCACACCCCTCCCCTTGCTGCCCTCTCCATCCCGCACCCAAGGGGCACAGCGCAACCTGGACATCGAACCGCGGCTGCGAGGCGACGATGGCGACGACGACGATGAAGCGACAATGAAGCGATGACGACGAAGTAACATTAAAGCGACAACCGCGACGACGACGACGGCGACGAAGCGACGACGACGAAACGGCAAAGAAGCGACGAGGGAACGACGAGGAAGCGACGCGACGACGCGAAGACGGCGACGCAGCGGCCGCTGGGGGGGGGCACCGAGACCCGGCCAGCGTGCGGCAGGAACTGGGATCCCCAGGCTGCCCTGACGCCCGCCCAGACCGAAACGGCTGCGGCGGCGTTCGGGGATTGAGGCGCACGAGGCAGGACAGGACACCACGAGAGATGAACATGTCCAAATCAATGCCCTCACAGTCTGGCAGGATCAGTGAGCATCGAATCGAAAACCGGATCGAATCGGGACGCGCACCGGATCGGGCTACATCGGGACGAATTCGAAATCAAGCAGGATAGGATGCGCGAGGAAACACAAAAACGCCATGCAAGCGTCGGTCCGCATCGGATCGTTCGAATGTCGGAATCGAACCGTATCGACCTGGCCATCATGTATACGTATCGGATCGGATCGATCAGATCAAATGGACCTTGCCCGGAACCCTGGCGCGATCCCGTGACCGCCGCGGCGGGATAAAGATTCAAGACGATTTCAATGCCAAGAACTCGGAGCAGGACCCCAGGCTTCCGAAGTCTTCGCCGAATGTGGACCGCCAGCGTCTCCGCAAGACGTCGAAGTCCAGAACAGGTCGCCTTCCGAAACCAGGATGGGCAGTGGTGCGCTTCGTTCCCCGGGGCATCAAAAAACACTTGGGCGAACAAATCGTAGACGGCGTGGACCCCAAGCAATGCGATTGAAGCACTCTATGTTGTGCGGTGCAATGTGTGTGGCTCAACATGTGTGGTACCATCTATGTGGTGCACTATGTGTAACTGATTTTAAAACCGAACTGACACATCCCATGCTCTTGCAAACATCCCACCCGCCCACCTTAAAGTTAGCTTGCAAAACCCATGCGGCGGAAATTGCGATGAAAGCTTGGCGTTGGTTGGTGAATCGTTGCGGCCGCAACGACCCAAACACGCGCGCGCAGCGGCCAGCTAAATTGGCGCGACCGACACGGCCGCGGTGGCGCTGACCGCTGGGCACACCCCAACGGACACCTCAGTTCGAGTCGGCAAATTGGTCTGCCTTCAGCCTCGGTCTGCCTTCAGCCTCGGCCTCAGCCTGCCTCAGCCTGAGCCTGCCTCAGCCTCAGCCTCAGCCTCAGCCTGCCTCAGCCTCAGCCTCAGCCTCAGCCGCAGCCTGCCTCAGCCTCAGCCTCAGCCTGCACCAGCCTCAGCCTCAGTCTGCCTTCAGCCTCGGCCTCAGCCTCAGCCTGCCTCAGCCTCAGCCTGCATCAGCCTCAGCCTCAGCCTCAGCCTGCCTCAGCATCAGCCTGTCTCAGCCACAGCCTCAGCCTGCCTCAGCCTCAGCCTCAGCCTGCTTCAGCCTCAGCCTCAGTCTGCCTTCAGCCTCGGCCAGCCTCAGCCTGCCTCAGCCTGCCTCAGCCTCAGCCTCAGCCTCAGCCTGCCTCAGCATCAGCCTGCTCAGCCTCAGCCTCAGCCTGCCTCAGCCTCAGCCTCAGTCTGCTCAGCCTCAGCCTCAATCTGCCTTCAGCCTCGGCATCAGTCTCAGCCTGCCTCAGCCTCAGCCTGCATCTATCAGCAGGCCTCAGCCTCAGCCTGCCTCAGCATCAGCCCTGCCTCAGGCCTCAAGCCTCAGCCTGCCTCAGCCTCAGCCTCGCCTCTGCGTCAGCCTCTAAGCCTTCAGCCTCAATCTGCCTTCAGCTCCGGCCCTCAGCCCTCAGCCTGCCTCAGCCTCAAGCCTGCATCAACCTCAGCCTCAAGCTCTCAAGCCTGCATCAGCTCAGCCCTGCACTCAGCCTCAGACACCTCATTCCCAGACTCAGCCCTCAGCCATGCTTCAGCCTCAGCCTCAGTCTGCATTCAGCCTCGGCCTTCAGCGTCAGCCTGCCTCAGCCTCAGTCTGCATCAGCCTCAGCCTCTGCCTCAGCCTGCCTTCAGCATTTTCCCAGCCGCCTCCGCATCAGCCTCCAGCCTGCAGAGCCTCAGCACAGCTCAGCCCTGCTTCAGCCTCAGCCGCAATCTGCCTTCAGCCTCGGCCTCAGCCTCAGCCTGCATCAGCCCCAGCCTCAGCCTCAGCCTCGGCCTCAGCCTCAGCCTGCCTCAGCCTCAGCCTGCATCAGCCTCAGCCTCGGCCTCAGCCTGCCTCAGCCTCAGCCTCAGTCTGCCTTCAGCCTCTGCCTCAGCCTGCCTCAGCCTCAGCCTGCCTCAGCCGCAGCATCAGCCTGCCTCAGCATTCAAAATGTGGCCCGGGAGTGGAGTTCTGGGAACTCAAAGACCACGAAATGGCCTACAATTGGCTCCGGGCATTCAAAATCATGCCCAGGAATGGAGTTCTCGGAACTCGAAGAACACGAAGTGGCCTACATTTGGTTCCGGGCATTCAAAATCATGCCCAGGAATGGAGATCTGGGAACTCGAAGACCACGAAGTGCGCTAGTGTTTGTTAAAAAAGAATCTCCGGATTCCCCCGGCTCCCGTCCGGATCCCGCCCAGACCCGCGTGGGGACTCAAGATGCTCTCTTTTGACACCACTAG